GTGTACGAAAGGTAGTGCGCCGTGGTATTTTGGCTTTTATATACTCCCTCCCAGACCGCGCGCGTGCGGTTTCTCATCCGCACCGTTTCTGCCGTGGCAAATTTTTTGACAGTTAAAAAATCTGGCCCGGCAACCACGGCAATCACGGCCTGTCACGTTGGCCCATCCCGTCCCCCCGCGTTATCTCACGTCCATCCCTTTTTGTCCACGTTGGCCTGAAACGTGATTGCCGTGGCCACCGGGAACATAATGTAAACGTAGCATACAATATCACGGGCATAGAAATATATGTAGGATGGGGAAGTCATATATAGTAAAATATTTCTTGAATCAGACAACAGTTTAGTAAGTCACATTGGTTCTTATCTACAAGTCATGTGTTCTTCCCTTACTCTATTTTTTTTCTATACCTTATGGTATGGCTTATCTGCAAAATTAATGAGTACATTGTCTAAACCTTAAACAAAAGGCAGCAAGTGCCAGACTTTGTGTTCCATTTGACACGTAGAGGGCAAAATTAATTTTTACAACTCATGTGTATTTCTTCGTTTTATTGATCTGCTTTGATGTTACATGTAACACGCATTCTTGTGTTATGTTTTTGTTTTTAAAATGTTGATATATATATTGTGTCTGCTTTAACAAATATATTCATTATAGGGTATCTTTGCACTTAGAGAAGAACACACAATTTCCATATACGCCTTTCCTATGCCAACAAATAATTTGTCCCTTAATACACAACTTGATTTTATTCTAAACAATTTTCAACATCTGGTGCTCAAGAGTAGAATAGTCTGCTAAACTTATTTCACATTTTACTTATTTAAGGAACAATCTCTTCGGTTTTTTTTTAGAAAACAGTTTTTAATGTAATTAACAGATCTGTATATAAAACATTTTGAAATAACTTACATAAAAAACAACCCTGGGGTGTTTTACGTCCTATGTTATGTTTTTAGGAAGTTATTATGTCTTCCAAACTATGATGACCACGTGTTTTGGATAAACAATTTGCTAAATATATATAACATTGTACAGTATATGAATATACATATACACAAAGTATAATAGTATGTGAATTTGCACCTTAAATCCATATACAAAACATTAACATCCTAATTTAAATTCATAGTGCTATGAACGCATTTGGATCAGTATCAGCTTAACACTTTTCCTCTAGCTTTTTTCTTAATAACGTGACACTTTTGAAAGAAGATAACGTTAGTCTGTTTAATATGTTACGAGAATACAAGTAAGGGAATACTTATATTTAGCTAACTTATAGCTATTTCTTTCAATGTAACAACACGTATTGAGAGGATTTTGTAAAACATCCAAAAGGGGTCGATGTATGATTAACATGAAGACCTAGTGACCTCCATGTCATACCAATGTTTCCGATTTGCGTTTATTTCGGTATGAATGCCAAAAATAACTGCCGTTCAATCCATATAACAAGCTTCAGATACATTTCTTAATCTATCTGGCCGAGCACCATGGTCGTTTCAAAATTTAAGAAATTCCTTAACTTCATATTTTCATGTGAAACAGTTTTTTGGCATTCGTACCGAAATAAACGCAAATCAGTAACATTGGTAACACGGAGGTCACTTGGGCCTCAAGTTAACCATAAATCGACCCGATTCGGATGTTTTACAAAATCTTCTCGTTTCCTCTGCTCAAGATTGTTCTTGCCTCTAATATTCTTTCCAATAGAAAAATAGAACTTCAGGACAGATTTATGTGAAACTAGAGCCTGGAATCGTGTACTATAGTCACTTGCAGCACACAATACGATGTATTACGTAACACAGAATGTGAGCATTCGGAACAGGAGCTCAGGATTACAAATTAAATGTAGTGACAAATTTAAAAACTACGTTTACTTTGTTTCAAAGGGAATGAAACACGAGGGAAATGTCAATTAGGGGGTTTTGATGCAATGAACGTGCTTTGAGATTTAAAACGAAAACAAAAGACAGGTCTTGATGTATGTAGCGACATCGTGGCTTCTAATGATGCGATTCAGATCAATATCCAATAAATAAAATCTTATTGTGTTGTGTTTTTTTGTGAAAAGTTTCAGGAGTTTTGCGCCTAACAAAGGACGCTTGGCTACCCAGCTTAGCTATTTGAGGCTTTCCGTGTGTTACAAGTAATTGTAAGACCATGATCTGTCTTCATTCCTGGTCATCTCGTTACTGGCGAGAGGTGTTTGGGCTCTGGCACTAACAAATAAGCAGCCAAGCTTGTGCGTCGTGCAGCAATTACGCCACAACGAGGCTGATGGATTGGTGTACGTGCGTCCTATCCATCTCAATACTAGACATCCCCCTTGCCAGTAGCCCACGCTTATATACTGCTGCTAAATGTTGAAAATCGAGAGGAAAACAGACAATTATGGCTACATTCTACACTATTAAAAGGTTTCGATTTATTTGTATTGGATGAGATGAAGGAGGTTGGTTTACGTCAAGTGCATTGTGAATCCGGTTCTTGTCTTGTCCACTGTGGTCGGTCTTGCTTGCTCTTAGGCGGCTACTAGAACGCTATAATTAAATAAGTAAGTATCGGGTCTCTTAATCCTTAGTGATAGAAATGGACTCCTTAAAGTAGGATAAATGTCTTGGAGACATCAAATTACCAACCAAATATATCAAAAAAAGGTGGGGTTTTTTGGCGATTGTAACAACAATCATTGCTTTTTATAATGAATGTATAAGTTGACTCATTTTATGCCAGTTTCATTGTTTAAGCAAATGTCGTGTTTTGAATAGAAACACGGGCATATACACTTCATTTCTAAATATGCAAATAAAGAAAGGATATTTAGGATTTATAGTCATTTTCCCCTTTTTGCGCTTTTTTTGCTGTACATTTTTAGATATTTCGAAAGACTTGAAACATTTGAAACAAATATCTGACCTTTAATAATACCACGAATTAAGCCTTTACATGGCGAAATGGCCATTTGGCACAGTAGAAACGGTAACTTGATTTTATTGTCTACACTGACATACTCTTGTTTTTAAATTGCATTACTTCATAATTCCCGTAATGAACATAAATGTATGTCAATGTATTTTTAAGAGTGATTGATAAAAGTTGAAATAACTTGTTTCATAATTGCTGTCAAATAAATAAAGTTTATATTTAATGCATGTTTAAAAGCATGTTTCAACATCTTTTTATTTTTTTTTCAAAATTTCTGTTTGAATAAAAACAACAACAAACAAACTAGGTTAATATTCGAGTAAAGATAAGTTTATTTATTACTTAAATTGTCCAGTTTGCCCTCATGCCTTACTTGCATCACCCAATATGCAGATGGTAACCAGTTCCGGTCGCCTGTGATGTTTGAAGAGTTTGACGGCGTTAGAACCCCAATGTTGCTCTTGGTTAAAGTATTGATTGTCCGTTTCAAGTTATTCCGTCTTTGCGTATTGCAGAGTTATCTTCTCTTGGGAGCAGGTATTGATTGTTACGTCATTGGTTTGTGTTAGAAAATTACGTCGTTTTCTCAAAAATTGATGACGTTACTCTCACAAACAAGTGACGTAACAATCAATACCTGCTCCCAAGAGAAGTTAAGACGGAATATGTGTGCTAGACCTCTTTGTATCTGTATACATGTATAATGATATTATACATGTCAGTGAAACATGAATGCCCCCGCTCCTATGAAAATTAATGTTATTGTTTGAAAGAAAATTATATATATTGATTGTGGTATCGGTCTTAATCTTGGTACCCTGAGATACATCGCATTTGAAATATTCTCATGTATAACCTTTGTATAAGGTTTGATTAAAAATCCCTTAAGAAAGGAAGTTACAAGAGTGATGACACCGAATAAGGAAGGAACGCGACGGAACGGACATGCGTAATACTATATGCCCACATCAAATGTTTGGCATTATAAAATAAGACAATTTTGGAAATCGCTATCATAAGGGGTAGGGTTAACTTAAATCGATTTTATGAGTTAATAGAATAAGTTTAAAGAAATATTGCATCAATGATTTAAAAGAAAATGCTATTTTTATCAATTCTGCAAAACATTCTTACACATCTGATATCACACAGGAAAGATAGTGTGTGAATTAATTCTACAAATAGTCAAAACAAAACAAAAGAACTAAAATCATATTTATGTTTAATTTGAATCTTTGACCAATCATTTAATTCTTTTTTCAATTTCTACTATGCCATTTACTCCTTTTAAAAACATGCATGTAATAATAAAAAGTTTAATACATGATTTTATTGACTTCTCAGAGGAGTGCATTCTTAAATAAACGAATTTAAATAAAATGTCGACGGTGTACGTGGGTTATAAGGTGCGAGTAGTGCCAGTATTGTAGATATATATGAATCTCTATAAACCAATTTGATTTTGTTAGCTCCTAAAGACCGTGATAGAAGACTATCATTCATTTGGTGTGTTTCTGATCCCCATTGAGATAGAGAAGACAATATATGATCTTATCGCAAAACAAGTTGTCTGTTATATGGCATCAACGTATAATTGGATATGGTATTAGAAGAACAGAAACGATCTCTCTGAAAAATTAATCTAGACTGATTTGGGTGCGTATGGGAAAATGTGTTATTTATAGCAATCCCTTATACGTAAGTTATGTAATTGTTAAGTTATCACGTGTAGGCTAAATAAATATGTTGTTGACTAGTCACAAAGATGAAATAATTATTCCGTACATTCGTGTTCTTTAACAATTTAAACACTTTTCTCAAAGGTTAATTGAACTTTTGTCAAGTGTTATCATGGGTCGCCCTAATTTAAAATCTTAAAGCGAAATAAAAGATATATAAAAAAATGAAATAAGTATTATTTTATTTTTATATATATATAATAAAAATATATATATATAAAAAATATACAGCGTATATAAAAAAAATAAAAAAATAAGTGAAAAATCTAATTAAATTTAAAACTTACATATGTGAATTAAAAATCTCCGAATTTTGTTTCAAAGATCGATTGTCCGCACCATCTGACCCCTCTGTATCCCGACACGAAAACAAACTGAAGACCATCTACCGCGCATGTCTATGGAGGCGGAGCATTCCCCTTGGTACTATTAGATCTGCAAGTAAGTACTATGTTTCGTGCAGCAAACAGATTTACCCGGATTTATTCACGTTGGCTCTTGCCTGTTTTTGTGTACTATTGTATAAGTATACCTGTTAGTACTAGCTCTGTAATAAATCTGCATACTATTGAATAATGTATCCCTATCCTGTGCAACGCAACCTCCTGACTACATTTCTGTTCATTTTGACAGTCAGCTTTATGATTGTCCGAAACTTGATATTAAAACCTCTACACACATTTATATATATATAAAAGTACCATTCTGCCGCACGAGACCATGCAGGACATAAAATGGAGATTGTTTTACCACACTTGATGAATAGGAAGTGACATTAAATGGGGGTACGTCAGCATGGATGAAAACTCAAACGATCTACATCGATTAATTGCATCGTTATGTCACATAAAGACGGCTTTATTTTGGCATTCACTGAAGCAACCGTCGTTCACTAATACAATTTTACGAACATTCGTCTTGAACTATTCGAAATCTTAAGTGAAATTGAATCTTGTGTGCATAGTCGCCAATAACGCAGGAGCCGATTCTATTTCCTTTCATCACCATATTTTACATTGCAAGATCAACCTTTCTATTAAAGTTCAGGATCTGGTCAACTCGCAGAACACTTCCCAGCAGCTAGAGAGTAACGAATTCAGGTTGACGCAACTCGTTGCTATGGTGACACGAAATTTTGGTGCTTCGCCATTTTTCAAGGTTATGGTGGACAGAAACCAGAAAATATCTGTAAGTAATAGGCTAGGCGGCTGAATTATCACATTGCATCTATCTTCCAGCGCCAAATGAGACAATTTCTCGCTGTGATCTGATACGGACAATGCGTATTCGTCTTGATACCGATTGGTATTGACCTCTATCCGGAAGCTATCGCTCCCGTAACTAAGATATGTGAGAAAAGTTTCTAGGGATGACCTACTGACAATATCTTTGTTCCATTTACTGTACTTACACTGGTATAACACATTGCGTCAATCAGCCTTTAAGCTTACAAAGGGATATTTTAGGTACGCCTCTTTGAAACAGGCAAATAAGTTCCAATTTATGAATTGTCTCCCATATGGGTCTAGGTAGGTTGAATAAATACAGATGGATTTACCTGAAAATTTCATTTTTTTCTTTTTCTTTTTGTGTTTGTTTTATAGTTGTTGTTGCTGTTGTTTGCTCTTTATTCATATTGTCTTTTTGTGTCGATTCTTAGACCCGAGTTTTTTTCTTTCTATTTTATTTTTAACTTGATTACAAAAATTCTTATGTGTACTTTATTTAAGAAATATTACAATGTTTTTAATTAACAAGGGACAAAAACATAGTTTAAATACAATCACTTTTCTTTTACACAGATCATCAACAATTATTCTGATGACGTCATCAGGGAGATGTTTGATGACGGTGAAATTGTTTCCAGTTTTCGTCATTTGATGCCAAGTGATTTCTACTACCGGGATCATGTCTCGGACCAAGTGAGTACCCTTTTGTACTTCCAGTGGCCATTACATATATATGCTGTATATTACATACTGTTATAGTATTACAACCACTGTTGTTTCCATTCCTGTTTTTAAATATCCAAACTTTGTTTGTTCGGATTATAAATGTTTTCACTGCATTTTATGTCATATCAAGACATGAGTCCAGAAAGACAGAAAGGAAAAGGAAGAGTAAAAAAGAAAGGATAAATAGAGGTTTTGCAGTTATATGCAAACGACGACATTAGGGAAGCAATTGGGCTTTGGTCCCGTTAATATCTTTTACGCAAAACAACAGAAGATAACCGAGAATATAACCGACGATTCTGCAGTGGGAGGCCCACATTAGTCGCCTCTTATGATAACATGTAATGGAATAGGTTACAGCAGACTCATTTATTCTCCTAATCAGTAGGGTTTAGATAGTGCAACAGCTTTCACTAATGAAGAAAACAAGAGAAAGGCGTAATCAAAACCGGAAGTAGAACTCAAAATGTATTAACACGCTAACGCAAAGTACTGGAAATTATCGGCTGCTTTGTAGCGTTGATCAAGAACTGGAAAACATCGTGTAATACACATTGCCATATCTACTGATGCGTTGTTTGTGATTGACTAGCGTTATCTCCATTTAATCGTCCGTCATATTCTTTATTAAATTAGGAGTAAATTGAAAATGTGATGCTTCAGGGTATACTGTTGTTGTATTGGGCATATGAATGGCTTTGTCGTTCGTTCAGAGTAGAATGATTGTATCACGAGTTTTGGTAATATCAACAAAGAATATCTACCTCAAGTTGATTTACATAACAGCGTGCAGTCATTGCATATTGGGTTAAGGTAGGAGAATATTAAAATTATCTAGGGGTCGCATAGGGAAATAATGAAACCACTAGCTAGGATATGTAATAGTCGCTTCAGATGGAGGTAACTTCAGAAGCTTTAAAACAGATTTAGCAAACAACAACCAATTATGTATCACATTATCTCTTATAACGTTAAAAATCCTTTTATTCTTAATTGCAACTATTGTAACGTCAAAATGTGGCAACAGGCACGACATCATGACAGTGTGGCATCGCATGCCAAAGACATGAAGTTAATCAGTGAAATCTTGATCTTAAATTCGTTTTATTTCATTTAAGAATTATGAAACTTCTCCGTAGTATTTGTTTTAATCTAATCAACGTCTCGTCGTCTTCGTAATCTAATTACGTAGACATTTTACGGCGTGAACCTCAGCGAGTTTTAAAAATATCATATTTAATGGGAATGGACTTAAGATGTTTAATTGAACATTTTGTGATTATCTAGACGGGGAAAACTCACAGCAAAACACCACCAGTTCTGCCATTTGTAAAATTGTGATGTCATCTAATTGTTCCTGCTGACCTCACAGAGACTGATATTACGCATGCTATATTTATGCACAATGTATTCGATTGTGTTATAACATAGTATAAACGCCTGTGTATATTGCAAATATTATGACTTGTTATATATATATATATATGTATCATTATGCATATAAACACGCAATGGCAATATCGAAGTTTATATACTGTTAACGTACATATTTTTGCGGTATTTTAATTTTCCAGCGTTTAAGATATTGTACGTTACTTTGATCGCGCAAATTGTATTTTTTTTTTCTTTTTTCTGTAGCATACACTGTATATTGTTGGTTCGCCAATTTATCAATACACTAACATGTAAAAATTGTAAAGCGCTAACATGAGAGTGCGCTAAATGTGATAAGTACGTTTACGATATGTTAAAAAAACATTGTTCATCATTTGTTTTATCTGTCCGGATGGAAGTACGTACGTATATCCTGATCAGACAATGTCACCTTGTCTGTTATCCTTTCAGACGATGCAGTCCTATAAGTCTTTCTTTAAGATGACAGCAATGACTATTCTAGATGCCCCTGAAGGCGACAAATTCACCAGGGGCCTAATCGATAATTTGGATTCGGTATTTGAATTGGAAGTCTCGCTGAACAAGGTAAGATCTGCAACCAAATTAAATGTGTGATAGTGTTGTGTAGAACACAGTTTCAATACCACTAGCTTAGCTTTTTAAACTTACCTTTGTTTCAGGGATAGTATAATCAGTCTTATCATCAAACCTTAAATAGATTGGGGATGTTAACGGGATATCATCAATTGTGAAAGATTTTACATCATCTTAAATTTTTTTCGATTGAAGAAATAAAACTTTGGAAATTTAACTTAAAATACGGAATAGCATTGAGGCTACTACATATAATAAACTTGAGCTTTTTTTTCGTGTTACTTACTCGAAATTTCGAAATACTTGCCTGTAATTTTGAGATAAAATTTAAATATTTACTTATTTGAGATAACAGGTACAAATTTCAAATTAGTCATCAAGAATTTCTTTTGTTCTAAAATACCCTAATGCTCTTCCGTACTCTAATGTGCTACAAGGCTCAACTTTAAATAACATTTTACCTGTTGGAAACATTGATATTACAGCAGAACCCTTGTAATATTTTTTCCAAATAATACTAAAAGATCGTGTTTAAGACGTGATGGTTTTCGGGAGCCTGAAGCTGGTTCCTAGTTCCTAGTTCCGTTTAAGATAAACGGAACTAGGAACCAGACACTAGTTCCGTTTAAGGTAAACGGAACTTGGAACCAGACCCTAGATCCGTTTAACATAAACGGAACTGGGAACCAGACCCTAGTTCCGTTTAAAATAAACGGAACTAGGAACCAGACCCTAGTTCCGTGTAAGGTAAACGGAACTTGGAACCAGACCCTGGTTCCGTTTAAGGTAAACGGAACTTGGAACCAGACCCTAGATCCGTTTAACATAAACGGAACTGGGAACCAGACTCTAGTTCCGTTTAACATAAACGGAACTGGGAACCAGACTCTAGTTCCGTTTAACATAAACGGAAATGGGAACCAGACACTAGTTCCGTTTAAATTTCAGTCAAGGTCCTTATTTTCTTTCCATCTGAGAAACTCTTTTAGTTTATTTCAAAGAACTTCCTCCTGAAAGTTTATGTCTCTTTTAATGGGATTAATCTATACCGTACTGGCTCACTTTGAAAGAAATTGTGCGACAGTAGTGCTGAAAAGCAATTAATCTGAAAGAACATGGCAATTGCTTTTCTCCGTGGCAATAAGTACACCTACAATGTATTGTCATTGATCTGTGAAAACACGACTACAAACGTGAGTCGAAATGATAGCTGTTGATTACTTCCCTGTAAGTCCATTGGTACCGTTGTACTTTGGGGCGCAGCATAACGGCCTCGAAGAAGAAGAAGAAGACCCCAAAGATAAACAATCAACAGCGTCGACAGCGTCTCTTCTAGTTATATATTTTCAATACAAACGTAATATGTCTTGTATTTTCTTCAATATAAGTTTTCTCTTCGAATGAAACAGAACATTTTGATTATTTTCAGTGTCAAAAAGCAATTACATTTCCATTCATATATCACCAACGATATGAACTTAAGTAAAAATTACGATGAACCTATATGAACACAAATAACTTGTGCCTCCATTTTGTAATCAATTCTCCTACGAAAACGGTATTTACTACTGAACATGTGAAAACTCGGCCAAAAACCTCTTTCATGTATAGCAGACTTACTTTTTGTCCAGCCATGGTTTAGCTAAGAACAGACGGAGATGCTGTACATTCAATCGACCGGATCAGTGTCATTGAGTGCAAAAAAGTGCACAATATATAAATACAAATGTGTCAAAATATCAAAGTCATGCATACTTTTCCCCTCAAGACAAAAACTTATAAAATATATATTTCTTTTTCTAATTTCAGAACTGGTACAAAGATGAGAGGAGAAATAATTTTAAGTCAATAGAAAACTGTGAATCACGTATGAACATATCAAGACTACAGGATAAATTTCCCAGATACGGAATTTCTTGGGAGTTATATTTCAAACTGTTGCTAGGAGACAGCCGTAACGTGACAGGAGGGACAGAGCTTTGCGCTGTGGATTTGTCCCCGTCTATACAAGGTGTGATAGCACGGACTGACTCCCTCACTCTCATTCATTATGTGTGGATGCATACACTTCTACACACGGATATATTCAATATGTTTGCTGACAGAACCAGGCCTTTTAATCTTTCTACAAGTATTTATAATATCCCCAAACATTCCAACGACGAAGCAATGTGTATTGCATACCTGTCTACAGTTTTGCCACTATCGGCAATTGTCACCATTCCAAAGTTGAACGTGTTTGAAAAGGAGTCACAGATGCTCTTTGTGAACTTAAAACAGACATTAATAGAGGTCATGGACGGTTTATACTGGATTCCAAGGCATCAAAGGGAGGCAGTTGCTGCCCACATGGACAACATAACTCTTCATTTTGAATGGACGAAGTGGAAAGTGTTGATCGGGAGCGGAGTGCTTGATATATCTAAACTAACAGGTGGATACATCGATAATATGCTAGAAATCACAAGAACTAAACACAAGTTATATTTAACAGGGATTAAAATATACCCAACATGGAGAATGTCAATAAGCAAGTTTGTGAAAAAGTACCAATCGGTGGGTAAGTAATTTATACTAATATTCCTATTGTCGTTGTATATCATATTTTTTATTATTTGAGATGTTGTTGTGATACAAACATATATATTATTGATACATACGTGGTGTTGAATCTACCTGAGCCTTTTCATTTTTTCATATTTTGCCTGATCGGTTTGGAGTGCGAATGATGGTTTTGTTGACACTTCAGTATGCTCATTTTGATATCAATAATGATTTTAATTTAATTTCTGTTTTATAACACCTACACCCACAAAAAAGAATTTCTCTCACTTATTCCGTCTTTGTGTATTGCAGAGTTATCTGCTCTTGTAAGCACGTATTGATTGTCACGTCATTGGCTTGTGTGAGAAAATTACGTCGTTTTCTCAAAAATTGATGACGTTACTCTCACAAACAAATGACGTAACAATCAATACCTGCCCATAAGAGCAGATAACCCTGCAATACGAAAAGACAGAATATCGGGATTGCGACCATAAAGCCTAATACACAGCATGTATCCCTCAAACACTCAGATCTTCCCTACAGCCTTAGAAAATGTCATGACGAAATCGAAGTCTCAGAATGCTAATACTCCAATAGCAATTTACTTTGATTTTCTGTAGAGTTGTCGGCTTCTGCTATCCAGGGGCCGTCGTTTTACAGCCCCGCAACAGTTCCTGTGACGTATGGGTCCACGGGGGTCCTCATCGCCCAAACATTGGTCAAAGCATTTGACATCGACGGTAAGTTAAGACAAATTGTTAATATTTGGTACTTGTATATTGATCAATTATAGACTTTTGTTAAGGTGAATATGTGGTTGCATTGACCTGAGAAAAAGATATTGTTAATATCGATTTCCTGATCGATATTCACCGAAATAAAAGTCCTTAATTTGTATATTAGATAGGAAATGATGGTGTATTTAATCATAATACAAAAAAAAAAAAAAGGTGTGCAAAATTTTCAATAGAAGGGTTTTGAATTTGGCAGAGAGCATTGTCACGTTACATTTGAAGTGTCGCACTAAGGGAAAATTAACTTGCTGAGTTTAAAAAAAGTAACATCGAGTCAATTTCGGATATAAACGACCTCAACGTGCTACTGATAAAACCAATCAAGATGAGGGTAAAATGGTGTCACATTATAGAATGATATAAATATATCATCTATAAAGATTTAAAGCGACCTTACTATTTTATAAATGACCATCAGGAAAGATTCATAATAAAACTAATAAGTAAAATAAAAATAAAAAAATTGGTAGTAAAATGTTAATCAAAAATATATTATCAAATAGTCACAAATTAACCACAACACAACAATTTCAATTGATTTTATCTTCAATACTAATGTCTTGGCAAGTTATTGTCGTGGTATATAAACATATAAGAATAATTTGGAGTGACCAGTGGGAACAAAGAATCGCCAAAATAAACTTTCCAGCTAACTATAAAATTGATATGGTGATCTGAAATGTTATGCCCAACTGTCCTCAACATGAAATACTCTCCCATGAAGATCATGCTCACCAGTCTCATGTGCTCTTCCCTGAGCAGCACACAATATACCACGACGTTAGAATAAACGAACATCATCTGTACAAAGAAAAACACTGGCGCCAGAAAATATTCAATTGGGTGGGTGGAAGGAAAGCCTGCCGCATAAGCATGTTCTAGAAAACAAGGAAGTCCTGTTACATCACCTAATAAATTAAACGGATACTATAACATGACTGTAAACAATATCCGGATCAGCGCTTGCATTCCGCACTAAACCATATACTCAAAATTGTTTTTAGCATTGTGATGAATTGTTTGAAAATATGATTTTAAAACTTATTAATTATAACAACAAAGATAATGCTGTCAATAGATCAGAATAATTACTTATTTTCTATTTTGTTTCTTTTTTAAGAGCGTTTGCCTGTTCTTCACATTGACGCTTGCACTCTTTTCACACTCGTGATATATTTGCCGATAGGCGCTTTTCTTCTCCATATCTCACAATACAAATACAACTAGGTAAATACATTCACACGGTGCTAGTACCTAGCGGCGGCTAAATCGAAAAACGGTAAACCTCAAATGCGATGCCATGCAAAATTCTCTTTAATTGAACAAAGAATAATGAGCTGGTTTACTGTGAGAGAGCTTAAGAAATAGCGGTGGAGGATAGAACTGTAGAACAATAACTTTTAAACTCTGATTGATCAAGTAGCTTCTGATACCATTTTTAGCAGGTCCAATGAATACGCCAGTGTCTCCTAATTCATCAGGTTCCAAACAATTTCCAGTTTCCAGTAACGATAGGAAATCACGTTTGATATTTAAGAACATCCTAAATTGACGATGTTTATATTCGCGGAAAAGAGTGTTTGGCTCGTGATATATTAACAAAGTAAAACGTTTAAATGAGCTCTTATTCCTCTAGATAAATTGTGGTATTTATAAGTACGTGTAAAAACGTGTGTGTTATTTCAATCCATAAAACATTTTAACTGGAAACCGTGACCTTAACGTCAATGGAATGCAGTTTTTTCTGGCTATCAACTTTTAATCATAACGATATCTTTGTCAATAAAACGAATTGTATGATGTGTTTTGTTTTACTGTATCTCTTAAATCTCTTTTCACTGATATGTGGAACTTGGAATTTTCGTTGGATTGTTAAATTTGCTGTTGAATCCTTCCGTTATAACCACGAAAACAACACTGCCGCAAAAATTACCCGTTTCACAGCATGTCAGTACTATCGTGCAGTTTGAGACATCAGATGAACACAAGAGTTTGGTACTTGCAATTAATAATCCCACGTTCACTTAGTACCGTTTCGAAGGATGTGATGACGTGAAAGTAGCGTGCACCTCTTGTAGAAACAAAGGGGTTCTTATTATTAAACACAAGACATTAATTGCCTGATTGTTTGGTTACAGCGTTACTGCTGCACTTCATGACTGGACTGATCGACCGCCGGGTACTGTTCACGATGGCCCACCACCTCCAGTGTATGATAGACACATTCGACAGATACTCTCTGATCGACACCCAAGGCGCCCGCCACCAGGTATAATTAGACATTGCCGATGGTCAGTTAATATACAAGATAATACATAAACTTTATTAGTTTTGCAACAATTATTTAAGAAGTTTTCTTAAACTCATATGAGATTATGAGTTATATTTGTGCGGAAAATAGAAACTCTCGAAAAATACAATGTTTGATGCAAATTCACAAAAAAAATAAGTATTTGCAAAACTGCAATATATTCAGCAATTGTTACAGAACTATTCTTTTAGAAAATTAGGACTCTGATGACATCATTCACGTTTAGGACATGGGTACGTCCTTCATCAAAATTCAATTGCACAGCTCCGTCAACGATATCCTATAACCATCTTCTATAAATAATCTTTTATATAGCGGATATCATAAAATTAAGCCCTCTACAGCTTGTATATGTTAGCGTGTTCTCTTTAAAAACTTTGTTCCTGGTAAACCATTTTAAATTAAAAAAAACAAATTCTAATCGTTTCTGGTTTTTCTCCAAGTATCAATTTCACGCAAAAATGTAATCAATATCTTTGCCTGCAAAACTATTTATCGAACGAGAGAAAACAATATATTAGATTCAGAGTTATAGGTAACGTAAACATACGTTTAAATACTTATGTAGTTGATTCGTATTATTGTATTATTTGCCTTGTTTTCAAGGTTCGAGGAGACCTGACCAAGGGAGATAATTTCCGAGACACTCTAGCTTTACATGTAGCATTTAGGGTAAGTAGTCGTACAATTGCTTAGCTTGTGGTAGTAGTGCTATTCGCAAAAAATCTAATATCCACTTGCTTGCGAAAGGTGACGTATATTTGTTCTCAATGTTTCGTTGTACAAATGACCTTTATACCTCCGTTAACTTACCGTCACTGAGGCCAGTCCATTCGCTGGAAAGAGACAGGATTTTGCTTTATAGGGTTAAATTTGGACAAAGATACTGCAATATAGGTGTTTTATCTGGATCTTATTTCACTATCCAGTGAAACCTATCCATAAAAGATCTCCCAAGGGAGAGAGTGCAGTCTGTGTTTATATGCATGGATTCGTTACAAAGAGTTTGTCGTTATAGGCATGCTTTGTTTTTCGACATGTGGTCGCTGTAGGCAAGTTGCGATCCAAGAAATATTTATATCTTATGTGGATAGTGTTTATAGATAATGTAGGTGGTCGTTATGGTGTTTGGTTGGATGTATAGAGTTTAACGTCCTGTCAACAACTAAGGTAATTTAAGGACGAGTCTACATGTGTGTTGTGTATGTGTGCATGTGTGTATGGGTGCCGGAGACAAGGACAAATAGGTTTTACCAGACTTGTTTTAGAAAAAAGTGTTTTTCAAGTTACCGTTTGCCGTTTACATACATGTATACCATCAAACGATACAAAACCTATTCACTTTTATGTATTTTTCTTTTTTTAATTTCTTGGTTTAAAATTTAGGTACCAACTTTGACAGTTGTTTGTTTGATAAACTATTCATCCGATTCGGAATGAGTTAAAAGGATTCCGGTGTTTTTTTTGCATTTTGTTTTAAGCAACCATTATACATCTTCCAAATAGTAGTACTGTATAATATGTGTCATTTGTTTTTTGAAGAGACGGCATCGTTTTAAATGCTTGTGGTGGTATGCAATATTGAGTTCTATTCAACCGTTCCATGAGACGTGGTAGAATATGTTCGATTGAACCTGTGATGCAATTTGTATTGGTTGGTATATCTGAGGACTGAATAAATAAATTGTCAATTATATAATTATATACCTTTCCAGGCCTACAGACGATCATTTGACCGTGGCTACGACCGGATGGTGCTACCAGGTCTTAATCTAACCGACCATCAACTCTTCTTTGTAACATATACACAGGTAAAGTCGTCGAATGGTTGATAAAATTGATAAAATTCAGTGGATGAGAAACGATTCCTCAATTAAGCACGATATACCACGATATGAGTTTCTTTTCATGTAAAATATAAATAGATCAATGAATATTACAACATTTAATATAGCGCCCTATCTTGATAGAATAAACCACGCTAAAGCGTCTACGGTATATAGGTATATAATTATATACAATCAATATAATTAGCGTAAATATTAATCAAAACAATATTGAGGAATTCGCAGGAGCTGCCTTATCAGGAGCTAACTACTAGTCCTATGCCACCTGGCTAATATATCCCCATGTGTGTATGCCTGCGTGAGTGCTTGAGTATACATGCCGGTATACTAGTTTCGACAAGATCATTGACTATGCAGGGTTAAACGGGTTTTATAGGCCTAATTCCCTTTTTGATCTATTTAAATATATATTGAGTGTATTATATATTTTTGACACCTTAAACGTACATGGATTAGGTGAAATGACTATACGGTGAAGCAAATGCTTTCTTTCTTTGGCTTTCGGCATCCAATAAAATTTTAGAATATGTCCTTTCTCACTACGTTCTTCTAGTGGTAATGTTAACTGAAACATATTCTCTATAAACGTCCTCTTGGATAGGTTGGGGAAAAGAGGTTCATAACACGGTACTAACGGCTAATAATTACTCATTTGCATGAGTATATATTTAGAAATTGCCATCAATAAAAACTTCTAACAATCCGTAATTGCAATGCAAACAGTTTTGCTAATACTGATTTAACACTGGCCAGTAGTGAAGCATATTTATGTGTAAAGTGTAAAAGCAAGCCATGACGCCTGAAGAATTTTAGTTAAAACCCTACTATCGTTTCAATTGTTTATCAATATGAGTTACTCGATTGCAATTCGACAAGACATGAAAATAAACAACAAATCTCTGTCCAATTTTATTTTATTGAATACTGATCATTTCAGACTATGTGCGAGAAAGTTAACGCCAGAGGGGTCGAGTTATACTACATGGATATCAACAATCCAGAATTACCAAGATATATCAAGTAGGTATAATATTCGTTGGTGGTAGAAACGCCATCGAGTAAATTTCTTTTCTATTTTTTTCTCCCTTTTTTCAAATGGTCAAATGCTTACTATGCGTATATTAAAAATGATGTAATAATAATACTTTTTTCCCCAATTCAGTTGTTCTGCTTCAAATCACGGGTTGTGTTTTGTGAAATATGTTGTCATACACATCAGGTCGAGTTCCGCGACTTGTTATTTAGGGATCCTTGTACCACTACCAAAAACGGAAACAATGCTTTCGAAACTTATTTTTTTGGCATTACTATAGCTTTGATAAATAATTTTTGAAAGGAGAAGTGAACCATGCGTGACTTTTAAGAGGAACAATGAAGATGACATTATCAAAAATAATGACAATAGTGTTCTGAGTGTAAAACCTCAGCGTGGCAACACCAGGATTCGAACCCTGGACTTCATATTGCTATACTGTCGCTTTGTTACTTTTGTTACTGTTACTTTGTCAACGGAAGTGTCACGAACCTGTTATTTTACAGTTAAATCCAAAACGAAATGAAGGGGAGGTTTATGTTTAAACGAAAAAAATCCCATAATGTTGTGGGACAAGGATCATAATTTGACAACTATTAAGATATATTACGGGTTGTTCTGTTAAGTGTGTTTATTCAATTATATATGAACCGTTGTTTTCCATTTCAGAGTACATGGATCGCTTTCCAATTTTCCAAAATTTTCAGCAGCTTACAAATGTCCTAAAAAAAGTCCAATGAACTCCGATTCCAAATGTATTGTGCTGTAAAGTTGTATTGTAAATGTTATGAAGACAATTAAATCTATATTTTCTCAAACTGTGTCTCTCTTTTAATTTTCTATCCCGAGCTATTTTCTCTTGTTTTAATTGAAAATGTATTGATTGTGTTATATAAGCCTGTCAGATGTATGCAATAAAGAGACAATCAACGCATCTATATTTGTTATTCTAAAACATAATACAATTATTTTGTTCATCAAAATGTTCTCACTGCAATTTGAATAGGAATTGAACCTCTGTGCTATTTACCATCCATGCGATTCAGATTTTAAAAAGGTGTTTTTGTATTAAGAGGTGCAGATACAATTGTTTATCACATACCTGTTGAATCTTGTTATAGTAATACAAGCAATTTTCAGACCATGAAATACAACGTTCTGTATTGCACATGTTGTATTTACCTACTAGCCGGAACAGCTTTTTATGGGAATCCCCTTGTGATGGAGAACTGAAATGTTCCCGGTATTTGCAAAAGATATGAAAGTTATAAAATCTTTGTATCGATTTCTACCTAATACGGAAGGTATGTGATTAAAGCAAGACCACACAACGCGCACTCGTGATTATATTCGTCCGCGCAATACACTCGTGCTTTCTGATTCGTTAAAAAAACACAAGTGTGTGGTCTTGCATATATGTACATATGTTTGATAATGATAATTACAATAGATTAACGGATCACTTCAGTTCGAAGTACTAATAAATTTATAATTACCAGCCAAACAGTTATAATTTTAATTTTAATTATAATTATAAACTTATCTTGACATAATAATGCAGAATTATAATACAATATATCATTTAACTATCTTCCACTAGATTATCTTTGAATTGGGTTAGAAGTGTTGGAGGATGCTTTTATTGGTGTAGTACAATTAATGTATATGAAGGTTCATCTTTCTTCATTTACATTTGCATATTGATAATGTTTAATTCAGGGAGTCGATGAGAGGGTTTATATAGGCTATGTATGTCGTGATTCCCATTCGATTGTTCAATAAAAGAAATATATAATGGAAATTACAGGAGTATGTCGGACAATGTATAGCAACACTTTTCATTGCCATATGCATTTTTCTGTGTCTTGATAGGTTGGTAATTTACTGTTTTATCATAGTTTTGCATATTGAGCAATTCGGCCTACAACATCGCTGATCAGATTTGTTTTAGCGAAATATGGATGTCTGGTTGCTATTATTTCTATTTGTGGTAATGAGTAGGTGTCAGAAAGTAATTGTCATTGCTCGATATTCGAGCAATCAAATGCCGATGATGGCATGGGATGCAACATATAACACTCTATCATTTCATAGTAGTTTTTTGCAAATGAACTTCAAAGTTTAAATTTCTCGATGTGACAAAATTACGAGAAATTCCATTTTTCCCCAAATAACACTAATTGCATTTTATTACTGAATTAAACTTTATAAGGCGATTTAGTCACTGTTTCGACTACATTCATCAACGTCGGCTTGGTATGAAAACATTGAAAACGACAACTAAGCAATCGGCGTAAAAATAATACCTATACATTAACACGGTCACAGGCTTCAGAAACTTAATTGACCAAACAAAGAAATGTTGAATTCGATAAATCACTACGCAAACTACAGCGTATATATATTCTAATAACGGTAAATTCAATATTGTAGATGTTAACTTCAATTTTAAGCCTGTGTTGTGTCTAGGATCTCCATGATGGTCAATGTTTAACATTCTCGAGTCCAAGTCACTATTTTTCGATTTTTTTTCTCTATGGTCCCACAAAGTTCGAAACATCGACGTTTGACTGTAAACTGTATCCAAATATCCTTCCATTCGAAAAAAACATGTCCAATTAGTGAACGTGTTGTATGGAATCTATTTCTCTAATTATCCCATCGATAGCTTTTATATAGATGTAAAAGTATGTGTACCAAAATAAATAAAACATTCATAGATTGATCAAATTATCGATCCCATTGAAATTTAATCGTGTTAACTTGATTTGTTTGTACTGTACAACACGAAGTGTTCGTGGATACTTTCCTTCGTGGTTTAAAGCCATTTAGGTCGTTTCGTGGTACAGACTTTCTTGGATATCCTTTATTAATAAAAAGAAGACACGTGTATCATTCAAATTCGTTGTATTTATTTTCGTGGTTCACTAGCAACCACGAAAACCACGAATGTTTATACACAACGAACATTTCATGTTATACAATATTAGTTTCCATCAATAATATCTTAGGCAAGGGATTAAGTTTTTGCTTGATCCGATAACATCAATATTAAGAAGTAACAAACGAAAGTGTAATTTACTAAGACAATGATGATTTGTATTTATAACAGTGTAATGTGTAAACGTGTAAACAAAAGAACCCAACACAAATATAACTATAAAAATATCTTTAGTATATCAGCACTGCCATATTCACAAACAACAACAACTGTCTACGGAGCACGACTTTAACTTATAGCAGATAAAGTCGGCGGGATTCACATGATCATAACACAGAAACACAGTACACAACCGCTCCACAACACATATGTGAACTTTGGACAGTGGATACGAAAGTAGTAACCAAATATCACAGTTAGCTTTACTAATCAATTATCTGACATATAATAATAATACATCGCATCTAACCTAATAAACATCCGTATGAGGCGTCAGCAGCGTAATGAAAAATGTTTTTTTTTAAATCAACGGTAGTTTCGTAAATATCAATTTACGTCTATATATGTTCTGGAATATGTATATATGCAAGACCACACACTTGTGTTTTTCTAACGATCTAACGAATCAGAAAGCACGAGTTTATTGCGCGGACGAATATATTCACGAGTGCGCGGAGCGCATCGACTGAATATATACGTCCTCGCAATAAATGAGTGCTTTCTGATTCGTTAGAAAAACACAAGTGTGTGGTTTTGCTTTTATCAAATGCCTTCCGTATTTGGTAGAGATTGATACAAAGATTTTATAAACTTTAATGTTTTTTGCAAATACCGGGAACTTTTTAGACAAGGGGATTCCCATTAAAAGTAGTTCCGGCTAGTAGGTAAATACAACATTCCGTCTTGCACATGTGCAATACAGAACGTTGTATTTCATGGTCTGAAAATTGCTTGTATTACTATAACAAGATTCAACAGGTATGTGATAAAATAATAACTATCATAGGAAAAAACATAAAAGTAAACACGGTTTACAATGAACATAAAATAATGAAAGATTTTGATGTTACTCTTTGGGAAAGTTACAAGGGCGTAAAGACTACATCTGGGTCAATTTCAAAATATGTAATTATTATTTTGTATATGAATGCAGGGGAGTGTTTAAAATGATGGCCTACACAATACATATACATTTTCGTATATTTCCTAACTTTTAGAGATTTTTGCAATGTATAACAAAGCATATATGTTGAAGTTTGAATCTAAATTAATTGCAAAAAAAATTAAAGTATCGAAGATTCATATTTTTATTTCATGTCATTAAGCAATTGAAGTAAGCTACAATTGATTAACATGTACTAAAAGCTCAGCATCTGGTGTAAAAAGGAATATGCTGTATTCAAATATGTATTAACCTAACACAGCACACAGCGCACTTTGTTTTGCCACAAATACATCGCACGTTTGACAAAATCAACAAATAACACAATATATAAATGTGTACAATGCCAATCAACAGACTATTATGCAAATGAAAGTATGAAATGTTATTACGCAATTTAATTGGAAGCGTTGAAGGAAGAACAGTCAAAATATACGGATTACATTTAAAATGCAAGAATAGAAGGAAGAACAATAGTTTCATATTATAAATAGCTTACATTGTACCTGGATGACCAATCACAGGTAAATCTAACATTTTCAAAAGTGTAAAACATTATTTTGTTCATATTCCACACCGTAAATAATTACAGTATACAATTAGCTTCAAAAAGCATTTGATTGAAATGAACCATTTACTACACTTCCTCATACGGGTAACCGGAAGAGCGACTCGTACCCTGGGCGGAAGAGATGAGAGGTGACATTTCGACGGATACACGACTATTGAGACAATCTTGGTCCCTATCGTCGTTCTCACTCTCAGAGAAATGGAGCTGTTTCCATGATTTTGGAGAAGACATCTTATTTATTTGTTTTTGAGGCCACATTTTTAAGAAATTTTGTTTACTAGCTCCTGAATTTGTGTACAACGGCACAGCGTCGCCATTTTGTCTAACATACTGGGCGTCCACTAGACCATCGCCCAAGGGTTCGGCACTGTCTGTAATACTACATACGCACTGAACGTCATACACTCTGTTATTATTTCCGGAAAGGGACGGACTCTTGACTGGACTGTTACTGGTGGATAAACGTTTTACCCGGTGTCGCTTGTCCTCGCCCAGGAGCCAATAGGTCAGTACATCACCTTTACCCTACAAAACAACAGAACAATCATTAACAGCAATGCCAACATACAAGGAAGGGAACACATCCGATTACATGAGGGCAACTCACCAAAGCATTGGTGTGACGAAAAGTAAACATACTAATACAAACACTTTTTAGGATCCTCGTATCTCTGCAAAAAAAAACTGTAGCTTCGCAGTCCCGGCATGACCCTTACCCTCCAATACAATAGAACAGTTATTTACAGAAGAGCCAACATACACGGAGATTCCACACTCGATTACATAAAGTCAACACACGAGAGATTGATGTGACTGGGCACACATTTAAAGGGAGGTAAACATTACAAGTTGAAACCCATTCAAGGATACCTGTTCCTCTGCCAAAAACTATTACTTTATTACTTTGCATTTGAAGCATTTTTCCTCGGCATAACTTTAGATTTATAAATCATTTTTGAATAGGAGCTCATATGTTGTAAACTTGCAACAGCATTGTTTACTAACAGAAGAATACATATGGCGTTATCGTTATTCAAACTCTTCACTTAGAAATATGAAACGGTCATTCTACCTGGTTTTAATAGTTTTCACATGGTTTAACCAAGCTACAGTTATATCCAAAACGAAATTAATTGGGGTGGAGAGGGAGGGGAGGGGGTGTGGGGTGTGG